TAGAGCTGTATGCAGTGATGCATGCCTGTAATCCCAGCACTGGGAGGCTGAAGCAGGAGGACCACAGGTTCAATGCTAGCCTTGGTTATGGAGTGAAATTTTATCTTTAAAAAAACCCGTATTTTGGGCTGGGGATTTAGCTCAGCGGCACAGCACCTGACTGGTAAATGTGAAGTCCTGAGCTTGAGTCCCAGTGACGGCTGTCCCCAACGAAACAAAGAAACCCCTCGTATTTTTATCATAAATGTATCTACTTGTACTTTTAGACTTGTATGTGAGTGCAACTAGCTTCCTTTGTAATGCAATGTATTTTATTTTATGTAGTTAAAACATTGTTTTGTTTTTTGTCTTTTTCCTTTTTATTGGTACTGGGGATTGAACTCACGACTGCCTTCTTGCAAGGCAGGCGCTTAGGCCACTGAGCTAAATCCCCAGCCCCTAAAACATTGTTTTGAGCTTGATGGTACACACCTGTAATCCCAGCATTCTTGGAGGCTGACACAGGAGGGTTGAAAGTTCAAACCCAGTCTGGGCAATTTAGCAATTTAATAGTCAGTGCAAGCAGACTCCTGTATTTGTATCTAGTCTATACCCAGACATTCAAAGCTGCAGTTTGAATGTAGCAAAATAAAAAAATAACAAAGTGGGAGGTAGTTGGGGGGGGGTTGTAGCTGAGTGAAGGTCCTGGGTTCAGGCTCTAGTACCTAAACAGTGTTATTTTGAGAAAAGCCCCACCAAGTGCCAAATAGGGCTTTTGGCTGAGGGTTAAACTCTTCATTAGAGTAAAACTGCTGCCTTTCCTGGCCCACCCAGTTCTTCCCACTAGGAAAGCCAGACCCTTAGGAGACATTTGCAGTTCTCCAGCCCTGCCTGGGTCTTTCTAGTACCAGGGTACAGTATTAGGAAAACAGAGTTAAACTATGTCACTGAGTTGTTGATGACTTACAACAAGAAAAATGTATCTCCAACTGTCTGACTCCTGAATCTCTCTTTCCGCTGGTTTCAGACTATGGCAGAGATGTCACTAACTAGCTTCTCTCAAACTCCAACACATAGCTAAGTGACAGGCCATTATTTTCATCAGCCATGGTGTCTCTGCGGCCACCAGGTGAGCCCACTTTGACGGCCTATGTCTTGCCCCGAGTGAAGCAGTGGAGAGCTTGGTGTGGGAAAGAACATGGTGTCTGACCCCAGAAGGCTTGGGTCCAAATCTGGGCTCTGACCCTTCACAGCTGGGTGACCATGAACAAAGGCCCTAGGCTCCAACCTCCTTGTTAGGTCTTCTTAATTGTATGTGATTCATGAAGACTAAGTGAAAACACGTGAAGTTGCCAGGATGGCATCTAGCATGTAGTGAGAACAGAGGCTGGGAAGTGGGGGGGGGGTCCTATATTTTACAATGCTGGTGTTTTTCAAACACTGTTAAAGCAGCTGAGTATATTTTTTTCCTTGCAAATGTAATACTGAAATCCTGCGGATGATGGTTATTTCATTAGATTTTATAGAAAAGGATGTTTACCTGTGACATTACTAAGTCTGTCAAGATGGTGCTCTCCATTACCAGTAAGAATAAACTCAGCTTTCCCTAATGACATATTGACAGTGACATTCTGAGAAGTCAGCCTGCAACAGAGACAAAAATAACTATAACACTGACATTGGGAGGTGGAAAAAATTGGAATGGGACCTTGAGCATCTGCGTAATAAGGAAACGAAAATGCTTGTTACTTTAAACAAATAAATTTCTTAGTAGGGCTGGGCACTTCCCCCCAAACAGAAATCTAAGATCTAACAATGGCTTCCGAACCTTATCGCTTGTAAAAAAGTACAAATTTCCTGTGCATATACATAGCTGGACTTCATGGGTTTGGCAGTGGCTTTCTCTTGTAATTTCATTTCCATGATTTCTGTGGTCTGTGTCCTGACCTCTGACTTGTGGTAAAATGAGAAGTCCCTAAAATATTGAGTCTTTTTCTATTTCTGATGCTTTCCATTGTTCACTCAAATTTATATATGTGACATTCACCTTTTACTGAGACTCATATTGCAAATCTGGCTCAAAGTGCTGAAAGATAAAAGATTAGATGAGGTTTAATAAGATCTCTAGATCTTGAAGTGGCATTTTTACTTTTCTTTGGTGTCTGCATTGTCTTCCAGTTCACCTAGGCTCTGAGACAGAATGATGTGGAAAATCCCCCTTACATAGTTTTTTTAAAAAAATAAATACATACTTTGGGATTTTATTTCAAGGCTAGCACACTTTGCTCTTCATCACTGTGGCAGTAGCATCAGATTATCCACCCTGATAAATGTTACTGGAAGGTAGTGAACAAAGTTCCACAAATAGTAATCTGAAACAAAGCTGTATTTATTTGCTTTTCCAGAAGGGAGAGTCACATCACTGAAGCACAAATTCTGTTATCACCATCTAGCACCTGAAGGTCCCAGACAGAAAGGGAGGAAAGGCATCAAATAAAACAATGCTCTGCAGATCCCATCTCTGTTTGGCCAAGGCCTACCATACATTGTTCTTCGCAATGTTGATCGGACAGGTTTCCTTCTTTAAAATTGAGGCGCCATTCTCGAGGATGTCCAGGATGTTCTCTACAGGTTCACTTTCACTCAGATGACAAATGTGACATGTTTTCCAGAAGTTGGCTGAATTGATTTTGAACAGCATTGTCAAACATTAGAATTTACAGCTAATACAGTTAAACTCATTGGCTACTTGTTCTTAACTAATCTTTTTCAAAAATGCTAGACTAAAATTTCTTTTTATTTTTCTATTAGAGCAAAAAGCACAGAAACACACATTTACATTGCAAAATAAATTTCATGTAGATTGCAAAGTTGTAACAGAATAAATATATATGAGAGATGCTAAAATATATTAATAACAGCAGTGTTTATAATAGCTAAGTGGTACAAATAACCTAAGTATTAAAGAATGGAAGAATGGGTAAACAGGACAAGCTATAGAGAGACAATGAAATATTGAGGCAAAAAGGAATTAAGTACTGATACATATTAAAACATCAATTAACCTTGAAAATATTATGCCAAGTGACAGCGGTCAGATTCAGAATGCACTATGATATGATTCCAGTGGTAGGAGACGCTGTGAACAGTGCAGTTCCTGGGGACAGAAAGCAAATTAGCGGTCGCCAGGGGCAGGTGGCAGGGAGGAGGACTGCTGAGTGCCTGATGGGTCCAGGATTTTTCATTCTGAAGGGCTGAACATGTTAGGGAAATAGAGGTGGTGTCGGCTCAACACTGAGAATGTGCTGAGTGCCAGAGAATTGTACCTGAAAATGGCTAAATGCTTCTTACGTGAATTACAACTCAAGTTTTAACAAGGAAGGGGTGAAAAAGAGGCCAGAAAAGTTCAAGGATCTTTGAGTCCCATTGAAGGAAAAAAAAATGGAATTGATGGAGCAAGGACTATGGAGCAATTGATGAAACAAAGGGAAAAGGAGGAGGACATCCTACTTACCAAGCTAAGGAGACTACAGCTATTTATTAGAAAGAAAGAAAAAAGTTACCAAATGTTTCTTTACCTATTTAAAAGTAACCTAAGTTTTTTTGTTGTTGTTTTGGTTTTTTTTTTTTTTTTTTTTTTTTGGCGGTCCAGGAGGTTGGACCCAGTGCCTTTGCACTGAGTAACAATCCTAGTCCTTTTTAATATTTTATTTCAAGACAGTGCCCCACTGCTTTGTTAGAGTACCCATGCTGGGCCCAAACTTGTGAGGACTGAGCTTACAGGCATGAGACACCATGTCCTGCTGTAACCTACTATTCAAAAAATCTGTAAATAACTTTCTAAAGAGACAGACAAGGCACCAGAGAAGTGCCTTTGAGGGCCAGTGACAGGGTCTGGAGGAGAGATTTGCTCTGCGGTGGGGGAGGGAGAACACTGAGTGCAGGGAGACTTGGAAGGGTTTGGGGACGGTCACACTCTCTCATCTGCCACCGACTGCATCCCACAGGTGTGCAGATCTCTGCTGTACTCAGTCTCAGTGTGACCTTTGTTTCTTGTGGAGTCTTTCCATTTTTCTTTTTCTTTTTTATCAGTACCGGGGATCGAACTCATGACTGCCTGCTTACAAGGCAGGCGCTTATGCCACTGAGCTAAATCTCCAGCTCCCTTTCCATTTTTCAAACTAGATGTGTAGCAACTACAGCTCATACACTGCACGCAAACCTTTCAAACTGAACACGTGGACACCAGCTATATTGTCCTGAAAGCTGTTTCGCCTAGCTATAAGTATATATTCTTTCGGGAAAACTAGTTTTTAAAAGGCAGTCGTTTTCCTGTCACATAGGGAAACATGGCTGAACCTTGAGAACATTGTGCAGAGTGACATAAACCTGTCTCTAAATGATGAGCACCGTCAGGATTTCACTTTGTGAATTGCCCAACATGCTTCAGCAACGCTTGCCCATGGAAACAAAAGGCAGAATGAATGCAGGCTGCCAGGGGCTGGAGGACAGCAAAAGGGGTGCTGCTGTTCAAGGGGTGCAGAGTCTGGGGTCTGCAAGATGCAAAGCTCCTGGAGCTCTGGCACACAAGCACGTGAAGGAGCTCGGTACTACTGAGCAGTGTCCTTCAAAGGGTGAAGGCAGGCAATTTTGCGCTCTGTTTTACAATCAAAACTTAAAAACCAGCACATCTTGCTCGAACATTAACCAGCAGTGTATTCTTATTGTCATTTTATGCTTCAGAGAACTTGTAAGTTTTGTTGAACCTCGTTTGAGTTAGAGCACACATTCAAATACTACAGTAAAAGTATGTCAGCAAACGAACAGTAACTTCAGCAAGACAATCACAGCTCATTAAATGCATTCCCTGTTTCTAGGTAAAACTTATGGGATTGCGCTTTGGTATAAAGCTTTTGCTTTAAAATACTAAAACACCAAAAATATCAAAGATGAAGTAAAAACCCAGAACAGACTCAGCTCTGTGCTTGAGTGTTTTAAAAACACAAAAAGGGAGACAGGACTCAGGGCTTTGGGGTGGGTGGTGGGCTTTTTTTGGAGCTACCTTTGGCATGGCTACGATAGGTGCTGCCAGTGGTCTGAGTGGTTGTTGTTGCTATAGATGATGGACGCCGCCAGTATCTCACATGGTGACTCTGCACCTGCCTCTGTCCCTGCACCCGTTGTTGCCCAACAGGAGGGACTTGGACTCTCTGGGAAGGAAATCTTTGCCCAGATATTTGCTGTCCAGAGGCAGGCTGACTCAACACAGTTGCCTGGGGCTGCACAAAACGCCCTTCTCCAGTAAGGTTGATCACAATATCTTGCCCAGCAGGCAAGACCCACTGCTGGTTGCCCAGACCCGGGACAGAAACCTGTGGGCTGGGCTGTGTGAGAAGAGTCGCTGTGGGTTGCTGAGGCTGTGGCTGTGTAATGAACTGATACACCTGGGGCTGGGAGGGAGGTTGGGGTTGGATTTGGGGCAGAGGCTGCTGCTGCTGTGGGTAGGGTGGGGTGTTCACAATGATGGAACCAGGTGGAAGCTGGAGTATAGTTACGGGTGAGAGACCAACAGCATTTTGTAAAATGATTTGCACATTTGGCTGAGAGGGTGGCTGTGTCCCACCTGACCCTGCACTGGACGGCTGAAGGTTACTGGGCTGGGTTCCCCCAGCAGTAGGGGCACCAATGGTACTGCGCTGCATAGACTCTGAACCACTCACCAAAACCTGGGCTCTTTGTGCTGGGCCCACCACATGGATGACCTTCAGGTTAGTGGAGCTGGCTGGGTTTTGGGTCACTATGACTCCTCCTGAATGGCTGGCACAGGGCTGGGTAGGAGCAGAAAGTGAGCTAACTCCTCTGAAAGTCACAGAAGGCTTCTGAGAAAGGCTGGAAGGCTTGGGACCAGGAGCAAGAGGTGGGAACTTCCGGGTGCTGCTTACTGGGTGTGCAGGGGGATCTTGACCTGAGGAACTTGATCTTGAGCTGGAGGTGACTGTGGCTGCTGGAGCTCTTTGCTTAACTACATTTCGGGATACTGAGGACCCGGTTGACCCTGAGGTCGTAGTCTGTTTTGTCTTTGCTTTTGCCTTTGCCTTTTCTTTGTCCTTGTCCTTGTCCTTGTCCTTTTCTTTTTCCTTGTCCTTGTCCTTTTCCTTTTCTTTGTCTTTGTCTTTGTCCTTGTCTTTTTCATTTTCTTTGTCCTTGTCCTTTTCCTTTTCTTCTTTGTCTTTGTCTTTGTCCTTGTCCTTGTCCTTGTCCTTGTCCTTGTCCTCATCCTCGTCCTCATCCTCTTCCTTTTCCTTTTCTTTTTCTTTTTCTTTTTCCTTTTCCTTTTCTTTCTCCTTCTCCTCCTTCTCCTTCTCCTCCTTCTCCTTCTCCTCCTTCTCCTTCTCCTCCTTCTCCTTCTCCTCCTTCTCCTTCTCCTCCTTCTCCTTTTCTTTTGTCTTTGTCTTTACTTTTACTTTTATCTTTATTTTTGTCTTTGTTTTTACTCTTTCTTTTTCCTTTAAAGAGAGTTGATCCACACTGGTTGAGGTTTTGGAGTGTTGTACCATCTTGTCTGCATGTTTATCTTTGCTCTGGACAGATTTCTGGCATGTGCTGACTGCCCGCCCAGCTTCAGTCTTTGCTCTAGGCATGAAATCACCTGAATGGTCACCTGTGGAGACCTGTGTGGGACGCTTACGCTTCTTGAGTGAGAGAAATTGTGGCTCTATCCTATCACACCAAAATGGATCATTATTTGACATCAGCATGCTTGGTTTTGTGTCCTCTAGCTGACTGTCAGTTTCATAGTCAAACGTAAGATTATCCTCAGGTATAAGAGGTGAGCTGAATGTTAGTAGTTCATCATCAGATTGGGAAGACTCTTTTCCTTTGGCATGTTTCTGCACATCGATTTCAGAAGGCATAGCCAGGTCACAGGGTCTCTGTTTCCACATGTCTATGTAATTCTGTTCTGTGATCTTTAAGTTGTGTTCCAGATTCGAATGGTTTTCTGTTACTTTTTTGCAGGCAGTTAGTACTGTAGAGGGAGGGGAAGAAGAAGGTACAGATGACTTCTGCTGGCTCAGGGCGGGCCAAGAATGCCGCTTGAAACACTGTTGCATTGGTGCAGTATTCATCTTCTGCATGTTAAACAGCAGTCTGTTGGCAGTGCAGGCTACTGCCACAGAGGGGTTCAGACACACGGGTTCTGCTGTAGCCAAGATCAGCTGGCTCTCAAGAGCGAGCTTGTCTTTCTGGGTCCATCGAGGGTTTTCTCTTGCAATGGCCTCTACATCACACACTAAAGTCTGCATCGTTGGACGTAAGAGAATATGCCTACTTTTGTAAACAGAAGGGGCCGGGTCCACACACTGCCTGTAGTCTCGAATTTCAGCTATGACACACCCACTATGGAAAAAGTTAACCTGAGTTGCGTCCAGGACATCAAGCAAAACAGGGGGTAACTGTTGTGCATCCAAGTACTCCAACAGTTTACTCTCTTCATAGGGTAGTGAAGTGGTCTCTACAAAGGACCCACTTTTGTCATCCAGCATGACAGAATAGCCTTTATCTCCTGGGTAAAGGTTGAACACTAAGCATGGCAATGACTCTCTGCTCACCAGCTTCTCTAGCAAGTGGACGCTGGCCGTGAGTTCCTCGGTGACCTCAGGCTCTTTGCCACATTCTTCAACGTAAATGTCATACAGCTTCTCATGGAGAGATTTACCCTCAGCCCATGGGACCCTCCTTGCAGGAGGTCTCTGCTGGGCTCCCGCAATGACCTCGTCTGCACGGTCTAGGGCTTGCTCTAAGCCTCGCTGCATCGTGAGGCACTCGGGCCCTGCAACAAGAGAACATTAATGGAGCCTCTGGACTCCTAACCCGGGTCCCGCAAATCTACACCTGTACCTGGCCACAAACAGCCTGACGCTTATACCGATGGATGTGCGCACCAAGACACTCACCCTCAGCCCCAAGAAAACACTCGATAAAATTTATGAGTATCTGAAAACGCCCGTACCTGTCAGCGGCAAGGCCTTCATGTACCGGTAGTCGGTGCTGCCACAGGGGACCCTCGCAGAGATCGGTTGCCGCACATGCGCACTGCGCTCACTGTGTGACCTGTGCTGCCCCCCCACTTCCGCCCGGCACGTGCCAGGCTTGTGTCACGCGATGTCACGTGAGCCAGCCGTGCAGCCTTCGCTTCCCGTCCAGTGCTGCGCTCCTGCTGGACACGGGCGTGAGATTCTTCATCGACACCCTCCTCGAGGACCAGACCAGAACGACTTTCTACTGTTGTGTCGGTTTTTGTAGGGCAGTGGACACTTGTGCAGCACCTCGAGGTGCTTGGGAACAGTTCAGTTTCTTTGCCTCAAGCATCCTTACCTCACCCCCCCCCCCCCACCGTCTTTTAGTTTCTACAGGCCTGGATATGGGCTGAGTATATGAACTGGATTAAATAAGTCCCATTTCGTCTTCTGTTCACTTTGTTGCCTCAAAGTCTGCCAGTTTGGAGGTCAGAGGGCCGCTTTAGAGCCTGCTGTGCGCTCTGCGAGCATGATCCAAGTGCTGCCCCTTAGCTGGCATCCCAGGGCACACGTCTCTTAGCAGAAGATCCGTGCTGCCCTGTCTCAGTGTGGACTGGATCTTCCCCTGCAGTACTGACTGTGTCTTGCCTGTATTTCACTAGAATCACCGTGAGAAGGGGGTCTGAGTACAAGTGTTTTTTCTGGGAGCTCAACTCAAGAAGGCCTAGTGAGAGCTGCACCAAGGACAGTAAAGGAGGCAACAGAAGGCCTGTTCATGAGCAGAGGACAGCTGCGGAGCCCTGGTCTCCGCTGGGGACTGTGAGCAGCAGTAGACCAAAGGGCTCACTTGGTCCTATCCTGGAGGCAAGGAAGCTGAGGCATTTATTCCTGTTTTTCTCTCTCTCTGCCTCTCTCTTTCCCTCCCCTCCCTCCCTTCCTGTCTCTCTGTCTCTGTCTCTCTCTGTCTCTGTCTCTTTCTGTCTCTCTCTGCTTTAGCTGTCCCAGGAGCATTATTCCCTGACACTTGTGCTTGCCATGTACAGTGCCACCCATGCAATGGGGATTGAGGGTGACCTCAGATGGAGTTGCAAGTGCTTGCGGTGAGGCTCAGTCTGTGTGTGCAGAATGACAAGCACCAGGGGAGATGGACAGAGTCCTGGCAGTATTTGTTACAACTAGGACTGAAGCTAAGTGGGAGGGGTCAGCCATTCATTATTAAAGATGTAGCTAATGTGCTATGTGGTGCCCCTGCGCATAGAGAGAAGTGCGATGTGGTCCATGTAAGTGAAATGGTTGACCTCATGGAAGTTTCTGTCCAGCTGTTAGGGCCAGTGTGCTCCAGATGGAGGTCAAGATCCTGCCTTACTCCCAGTGGGTGCACCAAAGACAGCTGAGCTGCTGGTACACTGGAGGAGATCGATCGTGTGCATGCACATGCATGTATTTGTACATGCACTAGTTGGTCCGTCAGTGCTTTTCACAGTTCACTCATCCCTTTCAGTGTAGCTAAAAAAATTACTGAATCCATATGGTCTTTACAGCTCTTTAAGCACATTAATGAGCATGCAGGCAGATTGTAATAACTCCAGCAGCAGTCCACCTCCACAACAGCTCTGGAGAGACTAACACAAGCTGAGAAACTCATGATCCTGCTGTGATTCTCTTAAAGAATAGCACAGTAATTGAGTGCAGAGAATTGAATGCAGAGTAATTGATCTAATTTACAGTTAGCATACTATCTTTTTCTTTACTTGTTGATGTCCGGTCTAGAACTTTGCCATTCTCTTCTGTTGTGGTTACTTAGAAGAGCCAGCTGAGAATTTGGAATTACAGAGTGTGAAGGCTAGAGAAGCTGAGGATTTGCTGGTTTTACTTTGGTTTAATCTGTTATTTGCTCTGAGGCCTAATATACTTCTGTTGTGACTATATTCCTGCTGCAGTGAAGCAAATCCTAGGGCCTGTTGTAGTTCTGTGAGACTGAATGGTGATCACTTTTTGAACCCCGTTATACCATTCAGTCCTTCTACATCTATTAAGTTTTGTTTTTGTACCTGAGAGCTACTCAGAGCCTGTAACTGTTGCACTGTTTATTAATTGATCCTTTTTCCCATCTTTTCCTTTTCCCAAACCCCATCTTCCCTTTACTTTCCTTCAATTGTTCATCCTTTTACTATTTTACTGAATACTAAGTTAAATTCAATTTTGTTTGGGTTTTATTATTTTATTAAGAATTTTATTCTAGTTCATGAGGTAAGTGGCCATATCCTATGCCAGAGTTTCTCAAACTTTACATTATTCACATGTCCTGTGCATTGTAGGATGTTTAATAGAATCCTTGAGTGCTATTCACTAGATGCTAATAGCAGTCACCTGCACTTTATGACAACCAACAATATCTTCAGACCTTGCCAAATGTCGAAGTGTGGGCAACACTGTCCCTGGATATGGACCACTAACCTATCGTGTTATAGAAACAGGTTTGAAAAATCAAATGGCAATCCTCAAGCCACAAAAAGTTTTACACCTCAATTTGTAGGACAGTTTGAACAACACAGGTGTTTTTCTATTTTTTTTTTAATTGTAATTCCTGCTTTTGTTGGTCCTGAATTATCTTGGAAACACTCTAAACTTACCATTGTTCCTAATTATCAGAGTCCCTGGGCAGTGGGAGAGGTGCGGACAAAATTATCATCAAATCTTTATATGATACATATTTTTTAAACTGGCAAATCTATTTTTGTCTGCCTGATAAACAGCCCACAACAATTTTCAAATTTTCTGCATTTATTCAACTGAAAACTTTTGTTCATTTTAATAGTGTTTAAAAATTTTTTTTGTTCTGAGAAAGGTCTTGTTATGTAGTTTAGGCTGACTATGAAGCTCAAACTCATGGCAATCTTCCTGTCTCAGCTTCCAAGTTTTGGGATTACAAGTGTGCAGCACCAACACTGGCCTTTAATTACGTTCTTTGATCTTCATTCAGTATTTGCTCTCTTAGTGTACATTCCCTGATCTTTATTTTCTTAATGTCACATCATCCCTGGACTCTGTCTTTTCATTACTTTTCCCTATTTACACTTAGATCTTTGATGACTTTTCAGTCTCATGGTCTTAGTACCATTTTACATTGACTGTTTCTTTATTTTTTTAGTCTGCATGTCTCCCCTGAACCACAGACTCATAATATCAAGCTTCCTAGTAAACACATCCTTTTGGCTGCTTAAACAGGGACTTTACATCTAACATGTGCAAACTGAACTCCTGATCTTGGGTCCAGACCTGCTTCTTTGACAGTGTATCAGTGTGGTATGAACAGAAAATTGCAATCATCATGAGTTATGTGGAATAACGCATTTAGTTATAGGGACCAGACCCCACACAAGCAGGGGACACACTAGGAGAAGTAAAGCTGTGGAAGAGGACAGCTGGAAGATCAGAGGAAAGTCATTAACCAGATGTATCAATCAGTGCTTACTAGAGAAAGAAATTTAATGCAAGATATACACATACAGAAGAAATGATAAGATCAGCTTCCAGTGTCTACCCACAGTCAGATGTGGAAAAGTGCAAAAGGGCTGTTTGTGTGCTGAAGGTCCGAAGGATCCAATTGAAGACCTAGAGCTCACTGGAGTGTCCCATGTGAGTTCATATCAAGAGGCTGAAGCGTCTGTTCGGGAAGCCAGGAGCGAATGTCCAAGGTGACAGTGAAGAGTAGAGCTCCTCTGAAGAAGCGGAAGCAGCCTTCCTCCTTCCTTTCCCTTTTATTCCATTCACGCTATTGGTTGGCGCCACTCACACCCAGGGTGAGTCGTCTGTCTTCAGTAAATCTCTTCAGCCACACCCAGAACTTTGCTGACACAATTTAGTTGGGTGTTTTTTACCCAAGTTGCCACAGTCATTTAACTGTCGCATTGGGGAACCTGAGGGTAAACTGTGGAGGGGCTGTTGCCTCGGTCTGATATCACTGGAGATCAGTAGCACAGGCGATCAGGAAGAAGAGCGAAGAAAGCAGGAAGCAAGAGAGAATAGGGCCACCTGGAAACAATGACTAACTGGAACTGGTGAGGACAAGCCTGTGTCTGGTTCTAACCTTGATGATGCGGGTGACTTGCAGAAGGAACTCGTGCCTTTCACCATGAAGCTGCACAGACACCTAGCCCATACTCAGAAAAGCTGAAGGAAGAGATTCCTGGGAGGTGGAGAGACTATGGGCTCAGCCACTACCTGTCCCCCAACTCCCATCTGTTAGGCCACTGCTTCTCATGACTTTGGCAGGGCCTCGTGAGAAGTGTGCACAGCTCAGGGAGCTGATGTACATGATGACCTGACCTTTGCTTGAGATAATATAGTTTTCTCTTGTCCCTGTGAAGCCACCAAGGCATGCTCTTCTGCTGTGGATTAGATATTCTCCCTATCTCAGATCCTACTGTCTCTTTAAACTCTCCATGAATTTATTAATATGCTTATTGTATAAATAAACGTGCTGCAGGTGCTGGGTAGTTCTTTTCTCCCACCAGGAGAGAGAGCTCCACCTGACTTCAGCTTTTGTGTATTGACTCCTGTCTTCTTTATCCTCAACTGTCCTCCCTCTGGAGTTTCAAGAGCTGTGCTGGATGCAGCACCCAGCACGGTGAGCCAGCACATCAGCGACAATGCGTATGAGCTGCCGTGGGGCCTACCACATGACACTAACCTTTGGGTTGCTGCTCAAATCTGTCTACCTGCTCTCAAGAACATTGGCCAGCAGTAACCCAGAACCGTACCATATTCATGAGCATATCATTCCGTAGATCAGG